GGGATATCGTGGCGTGATTTCATTGGGTACGCACGTTCCTCTACGTGCGTAGTACTGATGTAATATTTTTTCGGAGGAGCGTGGAGCAATAGGTTAGGAAGACAACGAAGCAGCGAGCTCCAGGTCAGCTGCCACGTCGACATAGACGTGTTACGCAGAATCGAATCATTATTACTATTACTATTATTATTATTATTATTATTATTATTATTATTATTATTATTATTTGAAAATAAAATCACCAATCTAATGGATAAAAAATCATAAAACTCTTTAAAATAATATTCCTTTTAGGGTCTATTTGGGGCAGCTGTAGCTTATTAGATAATCTGCTGATAGCTGATTAAAAATAATCTGCTGATAAGCTAGGTGCGGTGACTATTACAATTTTTTATTTTTTGGGAAAAGTCGGACCGCTGCTACTAAACTGATAGTTGTGGTGTGAAAACGTTATTTTTTTGCGTTTTGAAAACGCATAAGCTGTCAAAACGCAGTTTACCCAACAGGCCAGGTGCGTTTTCAAAATATCACCACACCAAATAAGCTGTCCCAACAGACCCTTAGTGATAGATCTTTCAGTTCAGCCTATATGGGTGGAATATTTTTTTCTAAACTTTAAATTATTTGAATAATAAAATACAAAAACTTACATTCTTTGTAATTTCTATCATGTAATTAATAATTCATTAAAAAAAGAAATCTTCTTCTAAATTTAGAGAAAACTTAGCGATAAAAAGAGGTTTAGATCGCTATCTAATGATCGAAGCCACTGAATGCGTTAGAATCAAATCATTACGAATTCCAACATATTATAGAGGTCAACAGGCAGAAATGAAACGACATCATTCTTTCGCGAGCCTGAGTGGCTTGTTCGTGATTAAAGAGATAACTAAATTTTTTTTTGGGTTTAATGTCAATTATGAAAGGAATCTTGCAGAATCATTTTAAATGGGAGCCATAATATTTTAGAAAGTGTCATAAGATTTTACACAAATTTATATTCATACAATAGGTTTAGAGGTCTTTAGAAGATTCGGGATGGTATATGAATATTATATAATTTCTGGAATTCTTTATAATCTTTTGGATACTTCAGAAATAATCTAGAAGTTTCTAGATTTTTTAGAGTATCTTTGCTTGCCAATGAGTGATAAGTAAGCCTTTCTATTATTTTTTTGTGTTAAGGTTGCACATTGCATGAAGAATGAGTAAGCTTGCACCAATTGGGAAAATAGTTAGTTGATTTTGGAGCTAAGTAGTTTTGAAGATCTAATTTATGCACGATAATGAGAGACAAGGATTAAGATTTTGGATTCGAAAGAACTAACGTGAATTTATTGTCACTTGATCAAAGTCATGGGGAGCAACGTGATCCTACAACAACAAAGCCTGAGGAAAGTCCAAGGACACTATTTGTAGTCATGATTCATGGTTGTATTGAATGAAGGAATTTGTGAATGGCATTGGGATTCAGGTGGGCAAGCTAGACGAGAGGTTGAATAATTTAGAGAAGGAGGATGTTATTTTGACCCTCAATTATTGAACTAAGGTAAAATGACACTTTTGTAATGTGGTACCGCGCACCTACCACATCTCACCTACCGCTCACCTAACTCCCACCTACCACTCTCTTGCTTCTATAAATAGAGAGGGTGTGAGGCTTAGGAGAGCAAGGGAAGAGATCTTAAGCTACCACAAAGGAGGAGAAAATAGCTAGAGAGCTAGAGAGGAGGAGAGCATCTTGAGGCCTTTTATCAAGGTGTCTCTTGAGAGGGAGTCCATAGAAGGAAGATTAGGGCTCATCTCTATGTATAAGCTATGTATTCTCCATTTCTTTTGCCTTGGTGATAGTGAGCTATTTGATTGATTACCTTCCGTGTCGTGGACGTAAGTTGGATCGAACCACGTAAACGATCTGTGTTCGCTTGTGTTTTTTGCGTTTCATTTCTATGTCAGGAAGTACATATCTCACAACAATTGGCGCCGTCTGTGAGAAGATCCATACTTCTTGGCTAAAGGTGTTCGCGGCCAGCGACGCAGAAGAGGAGTTTGACATTCACGAACAGAGGAGTAAGCAGATTGCGTCGCAGATGGCCGAATCACGACAAATTTGGTGAGCAATGGAAGCTTTGATAGATTGGATTCGCACCGCCGGTTTTGTGGTTCGGCCAGACGAAGGAGGAACAGTCCGCGAGCGAGGGCCAAAAATTTGCGATAGGGCTGCCAGCAGAGGATTTCAAAGCAGGAGTTCAGTCTTGCGAGCAGCTCAGCCAGAGGGAAGAGGCGGAGATCGTGCAGAGAAGGGTTCGGGGAGTTCCCTGTTCGGGAGTTCGTGAAGCAGGAGGACCTGAGCATTTTGGCAAGGCGCGACGGCTCTGGAGAGACAGTTATTATCATGCGAGAGGCAGAGGAGAAATTCCTGATTTGTTCCGCGGCGCGAGCACAGAACAGGAAGTTTTCTCCGGTGAATAGGTGTGATCTCTGCCAGAAGGGATCAGAGCTCTCCTTTCGGTTGGCGAAGGCAGTGGAGTTCACGGGGGGAAGGTAAGAAATTTGGTGAGAATTTCTTGGATAGCAAGGCGTTAAAAGGCAGGTTTAGGCTGAAAACCTTTGGTTGTTATACAATAGTACAACATTTTGGTGATTTCAGCCTAGTTCTTGGAAGGGCAGCAGGTAGAATTCATTGGGAGAAATCCTAGCCACGATAATGAGTTTCGTCAAATTCGACATTGAGAAATTCAACAGGAAGAACGACTTCAGCCTATGGAGAGTAAAGATGAGAGCTCTACTGGTTCAGCAAGGTGTTTCAGAAGCATTGCAAGGGTCGGCGGCATTGTTGGCCGACATGACTGAGAAGGAGAAAATCAGCATACTGGATAAGGTTCACAGTTTGATAATCCTGAGCTTGGGCGACAAAGTTCTGAGGGAGGTGTCGAGGGAGACAACGGCTCAAGCACTTTCGGTCAAACTCGAGATACTCAACCTGACAAAGTCTCTGGCTAATAGGCTCTTTTTAAAGTAGCGCCTATACTCCTTCAAAATGCATGAAGACAAATCCGTCTCAGAGCAGATTGATGAGTTCAACAAGATCATCGACGATCTCGAGAACATCGACATCAAGATGGACGATGAGGACAAGACACTACTGTTGCTAAACTCTATTCCTAAGAGATACGAGCATTTCAAGGATGTGATGCTTTATGAAAGGGCACAAACTATTACTCTGGAGGTGGTACAATCTCTGATTAGAGCCAAAAAACTTCAGAGGAAGCATGACAGGGACAAGGAAGTTAGCGAAGACAATCTATTGTTAGAGGAAGATCAGACAGGAAAGTTTCAAGAAATGGTTAGTACATATCAAGGTCAAGCAAGGATGGCGGGAATCAGTCATCAAGGGGATCTTTCAAGTGCTATCATTGTCACAAGGACGGTCATTTCAAGAGGAACTGCCCAGCCAGGAAGAATAAGTACCAAGAAGAGCCAAAAGAATCAGGAGAAGCAAGCGTAGCCTCTGATGACTACGATTCTGCTGAGGCCCTGGTGATCACAAAATTTGAATCCAATAAGCA